TTATTTAATTTTATTTATCGGTTAATTCGTCTTGTTTTGACTCTCCCTGTGTCTACGGCAACTACAGAGCGAGCGTTTTCGGCTATGAAACTTGTTAAGACGGTTCTTCGTAACAAGATGGAAGAAGAGTTTTTGGCGGATTCAATGGTTGTTTACATTGAAAGAGAGTTGGTCGAAAAGATTAGTAATGATACTATAATTTCCGAGTTTGAATCGAAAAAGAACCGGAGATCGCAATTTCATTAGCCCCAGGTATTTTAAAATCCTAGCTCCGCCCCTGCATAAGACCGAACTACTAACACGGTTATGAGGCCGAGCTGATAGTGCGTCCGCTGAGCCGAGCTACCTATAATGTCCAGCTATAGCCAAGCCGAGTTGTTAGTGTTCTTCCCGGACCGAGCTATTAACATTAAATGGGCCGAGCTGTTAATGTCACCCCTGAGCCGAGCTAGCTTGTGTATCACATTAGCTCTAGCTCTCAAACCGAGCTATACTGTCCGGTTTTAACGGGCTACTCCTGTATGCCATATCAATATAAATATAAATATTTATGAATATTAATTTTGTAAGTAAATTAGTTTGTCTATCCAACCTAATTAATAATATCATTTGTAATTCAAGATTATTTACAACTTGCACAGCTGCAATAATTGACAATTATATCTTAGATTAATCGAATGTTAACTTTAGTTGAGCAGGGAACGAGATTTAATCGAGTTCAACGGCACATCTAATCTATGTACCTAGACAAATATTTTATATACTATTTTTAATATTTTATATACTATTTTTATATATTGTTGACAAACTCTGCTGAAGTTTGAATTATTATTTTGAAAAAGTGAATCCCTATTTACCCCCAGGGGCGAAACTACATATGAGGTGGGAGTAGGGATGAAAACGGAAACGGTAATTTCCGATTACCGGGAATCATTTTCAAAATTTTTCGGATTTGGAGGTTAAACGGAAACGAAAACGGTAACCGAAAAAACAGAAATGGAAACGGTAAAAAAATTCGAAAATGAAAAAGAAAACGGTTTAGCCCTTTTCCGATCGTTTTCGAAAATTACCGTATTTAAACGGTATTTTACCGTCGGTAATACCGGCCCAACCCATACTAGGCTCACTTTTAATTATAAAGCTCACATTTTTGAAATTTTTTATGGTTTTTTTGTGGATTTGGTGGTTCCATGGTTGATTTCTCACCTAATTGCTCCCATTTCATCTTTCAAATTTCGATTGCTACTATTATTCCATGAGAATTTGGTGGACAAGTCACAATTCAATTGCTAGTTATTGAAATTTGTATGGATTTAGTTATAGCAAATGGTGTGGATTTTAATTTAGATTTTGCTACTATTATGCCATGAGAATATTTCAATTAATGTTTTAATGCTATATTTTATAATGTGGTGTGTTTATCGTTTTTAAAATACCGTTTTAATATATTTCGATCGTTATCGATGTATTTTTGATCGGATAGTTTCGTTTTCGATATTATTGGAATACCAATGTCGTTTTCGTTTCCGACATTATCGTATCATTTTCGTTTTCGAGAAAAAAATATGAAAGTGGAAATGGTTGAGCCCTATGCCGATCGTTTCCGATCGTTTTCATCCCTAGGTGGGAGAGGCGCCGGCCCTTCCAAAAAAAAAAATCGAACTAG